TTCTGTTGCTTTAAGGAACTCTGGATATCTCAGACGGGAGCAGTTAAAAAGGGGGGAGCGTTTTGCCTTTGCATTGCTCCTGGTCACAGGATGAGCTAGCCTGATTCGCAATGGATTGGACTTTATCTTTGTAGGAACAGTTGCTTTTGTAGCAGTACGAGTGGTGGTATTGGCAGCAGTGGTTTTGGCAGCAGCAGTGGCAGCAACATTGCCTGTGGGGGAGTGTCAGTGAGTAGAACAGCACCTGGCCCTACGCATCCACATTACATTATAAACATTCAGCACATACATCCCTACTGCAACAGTGCTATTCAGATCAAGAGCTGGGAGATTCAGCTTGAAAGAAAATGGAGATGTAAAGTTGAACCAGCTAAGACTTGTACTGTAACTGTACACATACAGTGCCCCTATAAATAACAGTATAATAATCTGTAGGATCACTAGGCCAGTGATTATACGGTTAATGATGGCTACAGTTCTATCAGTAAACCATAAAACAATCACCAGAGCAGCTACAAAGAGCAGTATGCCCTTGGCTGCATACCACATGTACAGTTGCATGTTTGGAAAAAGGTCCAGTATATTCACTGCAGAAAGTGTCTGTTCAGTTTTCAATCCATCGGGAAATTCAGCAGAATTGTTGGCCATTGCTATCTGAGGGATTCCTCCCATCAGAAATGGAATTTTGGACACTCCCAATTGATGAAAATGTGTAATCTGGGCTTAAAATCAAGCCCCGCATTGGGCGCCAATAAATTGTTGTCACAGTTTGTCTCGGGTCCGACAACAATGCTCTTGATCCCCTCCCCCTCCCACCCAGGTAGGGAGGGAGAGAGAGAAAAAGAGAGAGACTTGGCTGGATTGAAAACTAAACTACACAGCTTTAATTAAACACTAATGATATAAGAAAATATATATACAATTTTATACAAATATGTTCAGGTATGAGCAAAATCCTGTCTCCCCCCACCTCCAGCAACTCCCACAGCACTCCCCTGAGCTGGGAGAGTCCCAAGAAATCCCGAAGCTGCTGCTGGAGAAAGCGGAGAGTGATGAGGGTCAGGAGAGCTCGAGCCTAAGGGTCAACGGTGATGGATGGACGGAGTCCTCCTCAGACGCCGGCCATGGACGGAAGAGAAGGGAAAAAAAAGAAGGAAGGAAGTTGTCTTCTGTGATCTCCGACCTTCCTTTGAGCTTACGTAGATATATGGAATGGAATATCTCTGGCCAGTTTTGCTGTCTGTCTAACTCAGCCTCCTCCGGGGGGGTCACAGATCTCCCCATAGTGTCTGAGCCGGCAGAGCGAAGGCGCGACCTTGAAAACCCAGCAGTTACAAAAACATTCCACTGTCTTATCAGCATAGCAGAACACACAGTTGCTAGTTAAAAGAAAGCTTACTGAAGGAAAAAAAAAAAACAACTGTAAAAAGAAAATTGGCTTAATCCTGGCTCAAACCAGGACAGCCGTAAGACGAGTCAGCGAGGAAGAAGACCGACCTGGCTGAATAGAGAACTTTGGCTGGAACTCAGGAACAAAAGGAGAGTTTATGGCTCTTGGAAGAGGGGGCAGGCCTCTCATGATGACTGCAAAGATGTAGTGAGACTATGTAGGGAGAAAATTAGGAGAGCCAAAGTCCAACCAGAACTCAAGCTAGCTACAGCTTTCAAAGACAACAAAAAATGTTCCTATAAATACATAAACAACAAAAGGAGGACTAGGGAAAATCTCCATGCTTTATTGGATGTGGGGGAAAACTTAGTGACAAAGGATGAGGAAAAGGCTGAGGTGCTTAATGCCTTTTTTGCCTCAGTCTTTACCAGTAGAACTAGGAGTTGCCTGGATAACCAACCCCCTGAGCTGGAGGACAGGGAAAAGGGACAGAATGAAGTCTTCTCAAAAAGGAAATGGTCAGGGACCTACTGCAACACTTAAACATACATAAGTCTATGGGGCCGGATGGGTTGCACCCAAGAGTACTGAAGGAGCTGGTGGATGTGCTCACCAAGCCTCTTTCCATAATTTATGAGAAGTCTTGGCAAACTGGGGAAGTCCCATGGGACTGGAGGATGGCAAATGTGACACCCATCTACCAGTGTCCTGGTTTAAATATTAAAGGTGAATCCCAAAAACCAGAGAACAGAATTGCTCTCTGTTACCCTCCCCTCCACCCTCCCAAGGGAAGATAGAAGAGGAATAAGGAAGAGGGTTTTTTGGGTTTTTTTAGAATAATAATTTAATTTAACACTAATCAAACACACACAGGACACAGACAACACAAAGAGCAGTGCTTACATTTGTTACCCCACCCCTCCCTTCTTCCCAGGCCCAAATTACTTTGTTCCCAGTTTCTCTCCCTCCCCCCAGCGGCACAGGGGGACAGGGGATGGGGTTTAGAGTCAGTTCACAGGATGGTGGTTCTTGCCATGCCATCCTCCTCAGGAAGAAGGATTCCTTACAGTCCTTCCCTGCTTCCCCACGGGGTCCCTCCCATGGCCCAGAGTCCTCCACAAACCTCTCCTTCATGAGTCCTTCCCATGAGGTCCAGAGCAAGATGCTCCAGTGTGGGCTTCTCACAGAGTCACAGGCTCCTTCAGGAAGAGCCAACTCCCCTCGCGCCAGGGTCTTCCAAAGCTGCGTAATCCACTGGCAACAAATCCACTGGCCACAAAATCCAAGTCCACTGGCCAAGTTCACCCCTCCTGGCACCTTCAGGGAATGTTCTACCACGTTCCTCCATGAGTGCAGGGGGACAGCCTGCCATCTCGCCATGGGTTGCAGGGAGACTTCTGCTAGGGCACCTTCTTCTCCTTCTTCCTCACCAACCACCAGCACCACTCTCCTTCCCCAGCACCACTCTCCTGGCTTTTATAGATTGTGACAGGAAGTGGGTGGGAATACTGACCCTTCCAGTCTTTTAGCGTCTTACGGACCCTCTCTCTCTATAGGTGTCCAACACTGTGCCAGGGTCTTCCAAACCATAACAACAAGAAACGCCAGAAGGAGGATCCAGGAAACTACAGACCTGTCAGTCTGACCTCGGTGCCAGGGAAGGTCATGGAGCAAATAATCTTGAGTGCCATTACGCACCACATACAGAACAACCAGGTGATCAGGCTCAGTCAAGATGGGTTTATAAAAGGCAGCTCCTGCTTGAGGAACCTGATCTCCTTCTATGACAAGATGGCTCACCTGGTGGAGGGAAAGGCTGTAGATGTTGTCTACTTGGACATTCGTGAAGCCTTTGACACTGTCTCCCACAGCATTCTCATGAAAAAACTGGCTGCTCATGACTTGGATGGGCATGCTCTCTGTTGGATAAAACACTAGTTAGATAGCTGGGCCCAGAGATTGGTGGTGAATGGAGCTAAATCCAGCTGGTGGCCAGTCACTGGTGGAGTCCCTCAGGGCTCAGTGTTGGGACCACTTTTGTTTAATATCTTTATCAATTACCTCGATGAGGGGATAGAATGCATTAAGTTTGCAGATGACACCAAGTTGGGAGGGAATGTTGATCTGCTTGAGGGTAGGGAGGCTCTACAGAGGGACTTAGGCAGACTGGATTGATGGGCTGAGGCAAATTGTATGAGCTTCAACAAGGCCAAGTGCTGGGTCCTGTACTTGGGCCACAACAACCCCATGCAATGTTACAGGCTGGGGGAAGAGTGGCTGGAAAGATGTCCAGCAGAAAGGGACCTCAGGGTGCTGATTGACAAGTGGCTGAATATGAGCCAGCAGTGTGCCCAGGTGGCCAAGAAGGCCAATGGCATCCTGGCCTGTGTTAGAAATAGTGTTGCAAGCAGGTCTTAGGGATCCCCCCCCTGTACTGGGCATTGGTGAGGCCCCACCTCGAGTACTGTGTTCAGTTTTGGGCACCTCACTACAAGAAGGACATTGAGGTGCTGGAGCGGGTGCAGAGAAGAGCAACTAGGCTAACGAAAGGCCTAGAGAACAAGTTATGAGGAGCGGCTGAGGGAACTGGGGCTATTTAGTCTAAAGAAAAGGAGGCTGAGGGGAGGCCTTATCGCTCTCTACAACTACCTGAAAGGACATTGTAGAGATGTAGGTGCTGGTCTCTTCTCACAAGTAAATAGTGATAGGGCAAGAGGGAATGGCCTAAAGCTACATCAGGGGAGGTTGAGGCTGGACATTAGGAATTTTTTTTTTTCTAAAAGGGTTTCCAGGCATTGGAACAGGCTGCCCAGGGAGGTGGTTGAGTCACCATCCCTGGATGTGTTTAAAAGTCGTATAGATGTGGTGCTTGGGCATATGGTTTAGGGATGAACACGATAGAGTAAGGTTAAAGGTTGGACTTGATATTCTTAAGGGTCTTTTCCAACCTAAATGATTCTGTGATTCTCCAAGTTGAGTCTGTTTTGCCCATGATGGTAATTGTGAGCAATCTTCATGTCTTTATTTTGACTCATGAGCTTTTTTTCATCTTATTTTCTTCCCCTGTCTTGCTGAGGAGGGGGAATGAGAGAGTGGCTTGGTGGGCACCTGGCAACCAGCTAAAGTCAACCCACCACAGTAATATTAATCCATGTTGGAAGGTAGATAGTAATAGTTACTCTATTGTTATGATTTGACATTATAAAGCAGATGCTTTCTTCTCAGAATTATGTCTTACAAGTATTCTGCTATTTTGTCTATTGTTAATTTTGCAGAATAAAGATAGCCAGAGAGGAGTGAAGAAAATCCTGTAATCTACAAAAGAATTTTATGATATGCAGTCTGGAGATTGTATTACTGGGGGCAATACTTGATCCGTGATTCTGTAAATATCTTTCAATTAAGTTTAGAAAGCTTGAAGTAGAAGTTTCCTTTAAAAATAATCTAGCTGCACAGTATCATATTTAGTCACTGTTATGAATATAATACTGCTTTTAAGATGCCTTCCATCTCAGTGTTCTGTTTTGGAATCAAAGCCTTCTGTTTCTATATGCATCATAAATTCTATCACTTTTCCTCCCATAAACAGCATATTTTGTTTTCCACACAGACATATGGTCAAGGGATTGAACTGATCTGTCTAAAACAAAAAGAGTTTGTGAAGAGCTCTGTAGAATCCAAATGGAATCTAGCAGAAGCCCAGCAGAAACTTAGTAGTTTAGCACTGCATAATTCAGAATCCATGGATCAGGAATATGCCAAAGCACAGACTGAAGCTTCAGAATTGAGACAGAGAGAGGAAGAGTGGAGAAGAAAAGAAGCAGCACTAATACAGAGGGAAAGACAGAATCTATGGAATATGGATTCTTTTAGTAAGGAGGTATTTAATAAGGTATGACGTATAAATGTGTATGAAAACAACGATAAGCCTTTTTTTATTTCATTTCTCATCTTCAGTGTTTTCTATATCTAGTATAGTGATTATTGTAATGTATTGAATGTTTTTCTTTCTTACTTTGCCCTATTGAAGGGGACATGGCATTGTTATTACGAATGTGTATGACACTTCTTCTTTAATTGGGAATCAGAACTTATATTTGTCCCTTATAGCAGCTGTTGCCAAAACCAAGAATGAGCAATATTTCTTCACATAGAATGGTTTGGGTTAGAAGAGACCTTAAAGATAATCTAGTTCCACCCCCCCTGCCATAGGCAGGGACCCCTTCCTCTAGACCAGGTTGCTCCAAGCCCCATCCAACCTGGCCTCGAACATTTCCAGGGAGGGGGCATCCACAGCTTCTCTGGACAACCTGTTTCAGTGTCTCACCACCCTCATAGTGAAGAATTTCTTCGTAATATCTAATGTAAATCTACCCTTTTCAGTTTGAAACTGTTACCCTCCGTCCTATCACTACATGCCCTTGTAAAAAGTCCCTCCCCAGCTTTCTTGTAGGCCCCCTTCAGGTACCAGAAGTCTGCTATAAGGTCTCCCTGGAGCTTTCTCTTCTCCAGGCTGAACAATCCCAACTCTCTTAGCCTGTCTTAATAGGAGTGGTGTTCCAGGCCTCTGACAGTTTTTGTAGCCCTCCTCTGGACCTGCTCCAACAGGTCGATATCTTTCTTATGTTTGGGACCCCAGAGTTGAACAGAGCAAAGTAGAGGGGGTGAATCACGTTTCTTTTGATGCAATCCAGGATACAGTTGGCTTTCTGGGCTGCAAGTGCACATTGATGGCTTATGTTGAGCTTCTTGTCAACCAACACCCCCAAGTCCTTCTCCTCAGGACTGTTCTCAATCCATTCTCCACCCAGCCTGTATTTGTGCTTGGGATTGCCCTGACCCATGTGCAGGACTTCACACTTGGCCTTGTTGAACTTCACTCAGTTTGCATGAGTCCACCTCTCAAGCCTGTCAAGTTCCCTCTGAATGGCATCTCTGCCCTCCAGGGTGTCAACCACACCACACAGCTTGGTGTCATTGGCAAATTTGCTGAGAGTGCACTTGATCCCACTGTCCATGTTTCCAACAAAGATTTTAAACAGCACCGGTCCCAGTACTAACCCCCGAGGAATGACACTTGCCACTGATTTCCACTTGAACATGGAGCTACTGACCATAACTTTTTGAGCACGACCAGCCAGCCTTATCCACCAAGTGGTCCATCCATCAAGTTCATGTCTCTCCAATTTAGAGAAAAGGATGTCGTGTCAAATGTTTCATGACCTTGCCGGGCACAGAGGTGAGACTGACTGGCCTGTAGTTTCCCAGGTCTTCCTTTTTTCCCTTTTTGAAAATGGGGATTATGTTTCCCCTTTTCCAGTCAGTGGGAACTTCACCAGACTGCCACGACTGTTCAAATATGATGGAAAGCGGCTTTGCAACTTCATCTGTCTGTGAAGACTGAGGCAAAAAAGTCATTGAATCCCTCAGTGTTCTCCATATCCTGGGTAACTAGGTCTCTTGTTTCCTTCCAGAGAGGGCCCACATTTTCCCTAGTCTTCCTTTTTTCACAGACATACCTATAGAAACTTTTCTTGTTACCCTTGGTGTCCTTGGCCAGATTTAATTCTAACAGGGCTTTAGCTTTCCTTACCTGATCCCTGGCTGCTCGGACAACTTCTTTGTACTCCTCCCAGGTACCTGTCCTTGCTTCTACTCTCTGTAGGCTTCCTTTTTATTTTTGAATTTGTCTAGGAGCTCCTTGTTCATCCATGCAGCAGGCCTCTTGGCGTTTTTGCCTTACTTCCTCTTTGTTGGGATACATTGTTCCTGAGCTTGGAGGAGGTGATCCTTGAATATTAATCAGCTTTCTTGGGCTTCTTTTCCCTCCTGGACTTTATCCCATGCTACTCTACCAGTCAGGTCCCTAAAGAGGCCAAAATATACTCCCTTGAATTCTAAGGTAGTGAGTTTGCTGTGTGCCCTCCTCACTGCCCTAAGGATTGTGAACTCCACCATCTCATGGTCACTGCAGCCAAGGCTGCCCTTGAGCTTCACATTGTCCACCAGCCCCTTCTTGTTGGCAAGAACAAGGTCCAGCATAGCACCTTTTCTCATTGGTTCTACTGTCACTTGGAGAAGGAAGTTATCATCAACACATTCCAGAAACCTCCTGGATTGCTTATGCCTTGCTCTGTTGACCCTCTAACAGATATTGGGGTGGTTGAAATCTCCCATGAGGAACAGGGCTTGTGATCGTGAGGCTACTCCTATCTGTCCATAGGGGGCCTCATCTGCTTGTCTTCCTGGTCAGGTGGCCTGTAGCAGACCCCCACTATGATGTCCCCTGTCTCTGCCTTCCCTTTAACCCTGACCCATAAGGTCTCAAGTCAGCTCCTCATCCATCCCCAGGCAGAGCTCCATGTGCTCCAGTTGGTCACTGATGTAGAGGGCAACACCCCTGCCTGTCCTTCCTAAAGAGCATGAAGTTTGTGTCTTTGTTGTGCCAAATTCTTACATTTGAAACATGCACAATTTTCCTCTAATAATGTGAATTTCTTAATAAAGATTATTTTAGCACAAACTATCTTCATAGTAAATGTCTGTTTCATTTTCAGCAATTAACTTGACTATGAACTGTTAATATATAATTTTTAAGAATTCCACTGAGTTAGCTTCATTAGGACTAGATGGTGTAGATGTTTCTCATTGTTTATAGATCACTAAGTTCCTACGACTGCATAGAACTTTGAGGTAGATTATTGCTCAGAAAAAGAATATGATAGGGCATTTTTCACCCTATTATAATTAGATGAGCTGTGTTTTGGTAAATAACCTTTTTGGGTACATTAAGTGTATACATATATGTTTGCTGGGCTATGCTCAAAACTAGAACATTACTCTTTAAATAGTAATGAATTAAAATAATCCTATAGTTTAAAAAAGGTATATGTGGAGATTCTATGATAGTTTTTTCTCCTCTTTAGAGTTTTATTAGTCAATATAAAAGAAAAGAAGTAGAAGATGAAGATGTATCTAAATCATTTATACAGAAACATGAACAAAATATTAGATACTTTGGTAAGTATGTTGCTTCCAACATTTTGCAGTTTAACCTCCTGTAGAATTTTTGTAGGTCTATTTATTTTTTCATTATTTTTATTATTGTTGTTGTTATTATTATTATTGTACATAATGGATGCTAACAAATGAAACATTTGTCAAGGAGAATATCTAGATTCTTGTTTCTCAGGACAGGAGATGTGGCATCATAACAAATAACCATTTCAAAGTAAAACTGTAAATTGCAGAAGCCTGTTGGTTCATTCATAATAGGAGAACTTCTTGAGTCAACATAGAACTGAAAAAAGTAATTAAAATTTTAGCTACTTTTTCTGCTGTTCCAAGGGAAATGATAGGGACATTAATGGAGATGCAATGTAAAAATGGAGATGCATGTAAAAGTGCCTGAGACTGTGTACCTGCCAGTTAAGACTATGTAGAGATGGAACTGATCTTTTATTTTTAAAGTTATATTTATATGAGTGATAGAAGGTTAAAACTTTGTATCTAGTATTAGCAAGCAGTAAAATATCACTATTATGTATATTTGGGCAATTAACTCATATGAAGGACAATGAGAGGGGCAGGATGGTGATCTCGCTGCTTGAATTTTGAGTTCTGACTTTCAAACTGCAACTGTAGTTTCATGCTACTTAATACAATTCAGTCTTCTACTTAACTTTCAATCACTGAGTCGCTCTCCTGTTTTGACCTTAATGCTTGAACTTAGTTATAAAAATAGCTTTGTATTTCCTAAAACCTAGGAAGCCATGTCAGAAGCATATTCATTTTAGACTATGATTATGCTTTCATTTCCATTTGTCTTACTCACAAAGAACTTTTCTGTCAAAGTCACTGAATGTAAATCTCCATCCATCAACTTAATTATACTATCAAATTCTTAACAAATAGGTATAGATACTACTTTGTCACAGTGTGTGAAAACCATTTACAGTTAACCTGTTTTTAACACTGCCAGAGATACAATAAAAATATTATCTTAATGGTAGCAGCTAACTATATTTCAGTATCTTTTCAGTCTGAGCATACCTTATTGGTAATGCTTTTTTTCAGCATTGGAAGATGTTTTAAAAACAACAAAAAATTGAGTTCAGTTTTATTTGCATGCTGTTCTTCTGAGGTAACAATGAAGTGTGAAAGAGATTGTAGCAGTATGTACATTTAAATGTTTTCACTGCATTAAATCACTTCTTTATATTGAATATGTTCATTAATGTTGTGTTTTTTTTCATCAGGTATGCTGGGCAGATGGGATGACAGTCAAAGATTTTTGTCTGATCACCCATATCTTGTATGTGAAGAAACAGCTAAATATCTCATCTTATGGTGTTTTCATCTAGAAGCTGAACAGGTACTAGGAAGACCTTAAAAGTATGCAGTTTCCCACATACAGTATAGAAAAGCTGTCCAAATTGATGAGCCATTTAATTACTCTTCTCCCTGTCTTCCTATGCCCGTTATCTTATTGAAGGAACGCTCCAAAACACATTACTACATTAGATCTAGTTTCAGCTAAGTAACAGACCCTTTGCTTCTGTCAGTTATTTTATCTTTAGGGATCAAAAGCAAAGATGTTGCTGAATTTTAGATAGAGTTATACTTAAAAAAAATATTTAATATAATTATGTAATTCATCTTTTCAGAAAAGAGCTCTGATGGAACAAATAGCACACCAAGCAGTTGTGATGCAGTTTATTATAGAAATGGCCAGAAGTTGTAATGTGGATCCAAGAGGCTGTTTTCGTCTATTTTTCCAAAAAGCCAAAGTAAGTCAGAATTTGTACAACACTGAGAGAAACTCTTGATACCCTTGCAAGGGATTGGCGTTCTGAAGGAGCTTTCTTCCTGACAGTTGGAGGTTAAATATTTTACTGACTGAATCAGGCCTATGGGGAAGTGTTGTTTTGTAGGCAGTTCATTCTCATACACAATGCTTTGTGTAATTCTGATCTTGAGCACAGATGTTCCATGGATTCTTTTTAGGCTAGAAGGAAAGCAGAACAGCATGGGAACTACAGGAGCATGGAATAGTGAACTACCACCTAAATTACAGCGGCAAACATGAATGTGTCTAAGGACTGAGTGTCCTATTTTGCTTATCAAAATGCCTCTCTATGCAGTTCATGGCAGGGCCCAATTTGGAGTCTGTTTCTCTTTAGTCAGTCATAGATAGCTCTGAAATGCTGAGAGAAGGAGAGTGAGAGAGAGATTATAGTATCATTGTATTGTTCTGGTTGGAAAAGACCTTCAAGATCATCAAGCCCAACCACTACCCTAACTCTGCCATATCCACCACTAAACCCTGTCCCCTGGCACCACATCTGTCTTTTAAGATGTCTCCAGGGATGGTGGCTCAACCACCTCCTCGGACAGCCTGGATCACCAAGTCCAACTCCCGCCCCAGAACAGGACAACCCCAAAGTACGCACCATGTCCCTAAGGGTGTTGTCCAAGTGTTTCTTGAATATTGTCAGGCTTGGTGCCATTACAGCTTCCCTGGGGAGCCTTTTCCAGTGCTCCACCACCCTCTGGGTGAAGAATCTCTTCCTAATGTCCAACCTAAACCTCCCCCTGCACATCTTCCTACCATTCCCTCAGGTCCTGTCGTTGGTCACCAGAGAGAAGAGGTCAGCGCCTACTCCTGCAATAAGCAGCAGTGAGGTCTCCCCTCAGTCTCCTCTTCTCCAGGCTGAACAGACCAAGTGCCTTTAGCTGTTCCTCATATGGCTTCCCCTCTAAACCCTTCACCAACCTCATGGCCCTCCTCTGGACACTCTTTAGTAGCTTTATATCCTTTTTGTACTGTGGTGCCCAAAACTGTACACAGTACTCAAGATGGGGCCGCACCAGTGCAGAGTAAAGTGGGACGATCACCTCTCTCGACCAGCTAGCTATGCCGTGCTTGATGCACCCCAGGACTCGGTTGGCCTTCCTGGCTGCCAGGGCACACTGTTGGCTTATGTTCAACTTGCTGTTGACCAGAACCCCCGGATCCCTCTCCGCAGGGCTGCTCTCCAGCCTCTTGCTCCCCAGACTATGTATATCCAGGGTTACTGTGTCCCAGGTGCAAAATCTGGCATTTCTCCTTGTTAAACTTCATGTGATCAGTGATTGTCCAGAGCCCTCTGCAGGGCCTCTCTGCCCTCGAGAGTGTCAACCGCTCCTCCCAATTTGGTGTCATCTGTGAACTTAATAAGTAGGCCTTCAAGTCGTAGTGAGAAGACTGAAGCTGTGGTTTGATGTAAGTTCTATATTAAGTTATACAAGACTGAAGAATCAAGCCATGCTGATCTTAATGCTGCCTTAAGTACTTAAGTTTACACCCACTGTGCACTGCTATGAGTACCTTTTCTCTTAAAGGTATTGGCTTCTGAGATGGAATAAATGAAGGGTTAAAATTATATTTGTTTTGTTCTAATGTTCTCAGATGAATGAATAACTTAGTTCCTGTACTCATTAAATGCTAAAGTCTCTCTTTAAAAGACAACAAAAACCAGCATACCTGAATCTTATTTTGAAGTTGACTGGTACTAATATTCTTATTGACTTGTCCAAACGATTATCCTTCAATGAGTATAATATGCGTTACTGCAGGACTTCTTTTTAGCAGTGTGTATGCTTACAACTAGAAGTAAATATGGCTGAGATGAAAAATATTTCACTCTTCTCTTTACAGGCAGGGGAAGAAGGCTATTTGGAAGCTTTTAAAACTGAGCTTGAAGCATTCAAATCAAGAGTGAGAACCTGTTCACAGTCTCAAGGCTTTCAAGCTATATCAGTACAGAATCCCAGTGTCTATACTGGTGCTGTAGAAGGACTGGAGTCTTTGATACAGGTAGGGTTTTATTTCCAGAAATAAATATAACAATTCTGTTATGAATAGATTTTTGCTACACTCTTGAGAAGATGTACTTTTTGAGATCTAGGAATAAGCCCCTTTATACTTGGAGCACTGTAATTTCTAACGTGCACTATTATCAATATTGAAGAGAGTGTTTCTCAAAGCTCTCACAATTTATAGTGTCAAAAGGCATATGTTAGTTCAGTGCCCTTGAATAATTGTGCTAAATGGAAAACTGCATCATTAACCTGTTCAGGTGCTAGTATTAAATATATTTTGTATCACAGGAGGTGAATAACAGAATTGTCAGTTGGAAGGGACCTCTAGAGATTATCTAGTCCAAGTCCCTTGCTAAAGTAGGATTACCTAGAGCACATTACTCAGAACTGCATCCAGGCAGGATCTTGAATATCTCCAGAGAAGGGGACTCCACAGCTTCTCTGGGCAGCCTGTTCCAGTGCTCTGTCACCCCCACCGTAAAGTTTGTCCTCATATTTAAACAGAACTTCCTGTGTTCCAACGTGTGCCCATTGCCCCTTGTCCTGTCACTGGGAACTATTCAAAAGAGTCTGGCTCCATCCTCCTTGCACCCACTCTTTAGAGACTTATAGGCATTAATAAGGTCTCCCCTCAGCCTTTTCTTCTCCAGGCTAAAGAGACCCAATTCTCTCAGCCTTTCCTCATAAGGGAGATGCTCCAATCCACCAATCAAATTTATTGCCCTCTGCTGGATTCTCTCTAGTAGTTCCCTGTCTCTCTTGAACTGGGGAGTCCAGAACTGGATGCAGTATTCCAGATGTGGCCTCACCAGGGTAGAGTAGAGGGGGAGAATGACCTCTCTTGACCTACTGGCCACACTCTTCCTTATGCAACCATTCGACTGGCTGCCTTGGTGCCAAGGGCACCTTGCTGGCTCCTGGACAATTTACTATCTCCTGGACTCCCAGATTCTTCTCCTTGGAACTGCTTTCCAGCAGGTCTAGGCCCAGCCTCCAGCCTGTCCAGGTCATGCTGGATGGCAGCACAGCCCCCTGGTGTGTCAGCCCCCCCTCCCAGTTTTGTGTCATCAGTGAACTTGCTGAGGATACACTCTGTCCCTTCGTCCAGGTTGTTGATGAATATGTTTGTTTGGGTCATTTGGATGTGGTGTTGGTGGATATGGTTTAGTGGATAACTTTGTAGAGTAGGGATGATCGTTGGACTTTGTGATCCCAAGGGTCTTTTCCAACCTGAATAGTTCTATGATTCTATGTTGAACAAGACTGGACCCCTGGGGGACACCGCTGGTTACAGGCCTCCAACTCAATCCTGCTCCATTGAGTTCCATCACACAGCCAGCTATCAATCCACCTCACTGTCCACTCATCTAGCCCACACTCCCTCAGTTTCAAAATGAGGATGTTATGGGAGACAGTGTCAAAAGCCTTACAGAAGTCAAGGTAGATAATGTCCACTGCTCTCCCCTCATCTAGCCAGCCAGTTAGAACGTCATAGAAGGCTATCAGATTAGTCAAGCATAATTTCCCCTTGGTGAATCCATGCTGACCTCTCTCAATGACTTTCTTCCACATGTTTTGAGATGACGCCCAGAGTGATTTGTTCCTTCACCTTACTGGGGATGGAGGTGAGACTAACTGGCCTGTAGCTCCCTGGGTCCTCCTTCTTGTCCTTTTTGAAGACTGGAGTGATATTGGCCTTCCTCCAGTCCTCAGGCACCTCTCCATGACTTCTCAAAGATGATGGAGAGTGGCCTAGCAGTAACATCTGCCAGCTTTCTCAGAACTCATGGATGCATCCCATCAGGGCCTATGGATTTATGGATGTTCAGTTTGGCTAAGTGGCCTCTAACCTGGTCCTTCACTACTGAAGGAAAGTCATCTTCTTTCCAGACCTTATCTCTTACCTCCAGGGTCAAGGATTCACGAGGGCTGACTTTAGCAGTGAAGGCCAAAGCAAAGAAGGCATTCACTAACTCCGCCTTCTCTGTCTTTCACCACTAGGGAACCCACCTCATTCATCAGTGGACCTTCATTTCCCCTCGTCTTCCTTTTTCTATTGATGTACTGAAAAAAACTCCCTTCTTGTTGTCTTTGATACCCTTTGCCAGATTTAATTCCAGGTGAGACTTAGCTTTCCTCGTTGCATCCCTGCATTCTCTGACAACATTCCTATATTCCTCCTAAGTGGCCAGTCCTGTTTTCCACATTCTGTAAATTTCCTTCTTTCCTTTAATTTTTTCCAGAAGACCCTTACTCATCCATGCAGGTCTTCTACCTCCTCTGCTTGATTTCTTCCTCATAGGGATGCACTGGTCTTGAGCTTGGAGGAAGTGGAGTTTGAAAATTGTCCAGCTCTCTTGGACATCTATATCTTCCAGTGCTCTGACCCAATGTATTCCACTGAGTAGATCTTTGAAGAGGCTAATCTTTGGTTTCCTGAAGTTCAGGGTTGTAATCGTACTTATTTCTCTACATCTTCCACCATTTTGTGGTCACTACAGCCAAGGTTGCCCCCAACCTTCACATCCCCAACAAGACCTTCTTTGTTTGTTAATACCAGGTCCAGCAGTGCACCTACTCTCATAGGTTTCTTAACCACCTGTGTCAAAAAGTTATCATCAATGCTCTGCAGGAACCTCCTGGACTGTATATGCCTGGCTGTGTGGCCTTTCCAGCAAATATCAGAGTGGTTGAAGTCCCCCATGAGAACCAGGGCTATTTTCAGCTGCCTATAGAAGGCCTCATCAACCTCTTCATCCTGTAGTAAATGCCCACAACAGTGTCCTCCATGTTAGCCTGCTCCTTAACTCTCATCCATATGCTCTCAACATGTTCTTCCTCCTCTATTAGGCATAACTCAATACATTCCAGGTGCTCTTTCACATAAAGAGCCACTCCACCACCCCTCCTTGATGACCTATCCTTCCTAAACAGTACGTAGCCATCCATGACTATTCCAATCATGTGAGCTATCCCACTTTGTCTCAGTAATTGCAATGAGATCATGGCCCTGTGACCATACTCGGACCTCTAGTTCTTCCTGTTTGTTCCCCATACTGCATGCATTGGTATAAATTTTTTTTTGCAAGGAGAAGCCCTGATTCCCACCAGACAGTTCTCAGATGCTTCCATAGCTACCAGCCTATCATCCCCCATCTCCACTGAGACAGCCAACAGTAGGACCTTACTACTACACTGTCCCACTGGTACTGACATGCCACTCCCAGGTTCCTCTCTAGTAAGCCCAGTTTTGTCCCCATCCCCTTCAAGTGTAGTTCAAAGACCTTTCTATGAGTGCTGCTAGCACCTGCTCCAAGATCCTTTTCCCCCTTTGATATAGGTGTACCCCATCTGTTGCCAGCAGGCCTAGTGTCTTGTGAAGCAGCCTGTGGTCATAGAACCCAAAGGCCTTCTGATAACACCAGTCATGTAGCCAGGCATTGATCTGTTGGCTCCTATTTATCCCCTCATCGATCCTTGCAACTGGTGAGATAGAGGCAAACACTACTTGTGTTTCTGACCCCCTAACCAGCCATCCCAGGGCCCTGAAGTCTCTCTTTAATGCCCTTGGACTTCTTGTTGCAATTTCATCACTGCCTACCTGAAAAATCATAATGGGTAGTAGTGTGAGGGTTGAACTAGGGTAGGGAGTTTTTTTCTGCACATCCTTGACCCTGGCCCCAGGGAGGCAGCAGACCTCCCTATGTAGTGGGTCTGGTTTGCATATTGGTCCTTCGGCTCCTTTCAGAATCGAGTCCCCTACAACAAGGACCCATCTTTCTTTCTTTACTGCAGATGTTTTGATCAGGGGGGTGGTCAAACTAGACCTTGATGACACCTCCAAGCTAGAAGAATTATTGTTCTCAACATTGTGCTGTTTCACTTGCAAAGCACAGTACCTGTTACTCAGTGGCACCTGGGAAGGTGGTGTAGTTGCTGGACAGATGTGTTTGCAGTGCCTGTTGCTGTTGCCTGAAATGAGCTTTCAGCTGAAAATGACTTATCCCATTAATAGAAACCTAGAGGTAGTCAAGTCTAAGGAAAATTTACACTGTGTTACAATATTCTGCCCTTCTTTTTATCTTTATCTTGGAACACTGGGTTCTTTGATTTCAGTGTTAGTGATGATTATATCTTGGGCTGAAGAGAAAATTTTAAAGGCTTTTAAAAGCTGGATGTTGAGGAAGGAGACAATTTAAAGTACTTTGAAATAAATTTGGTCAAGGTACCTGTTTGGTAAGATCTTGTAACTGAATCCTAAGTAAATGTACAATAAGGTGATACTATGCTAACTAAATATAAAAAAGCTTCTTGAGATTCACATTATGACAATACTGTCTGGGTTGTTGTGGTTTTTTTTAAATTATATTTTATTATGAATTTATCTCATCTTAAGACAGACAAAATAAAGACTTTAACTTACTTCTCTGTAAGTGAATGTATATATTGAGATTAAGGTTTCAAATCTTTATTTGTTGCAGAATGCAAATGATCTACAAGATTGCACAAACAGAAGTGTTTGCAATTTAAACTCAATGCTACAAAAAGATGAAGAACCCAAAATGATGGACACAGTATAGCACTGTTAAGACTGAGGCAAAATACTCTTTTCTATTGCAAAGAAAAGAATGTGGCTATTTCCTTGACACATTTTTATGGGTACTGCACTTTATTTTTGGTGCTTTGAGGGAGGGATGTGGAGGGAGGATAATCCGGAAACACTTGTAATAATGTTTGAAAATGTGCTGCTAGGTTTTTGGTTGTCTATGAAGAATGGGGTTCTCATTACCAAACATTAAACTGGATGTTTTATGCTACTAAATTTGCCTTTTGTGATGTTGGGAATTAAAATATGAAAAGGAAAATGCACAAATAGTGTTTAAAATAAGTGATAGATTTCTGGTGGAATCTGCTATTGGTTTTAGATATGACTATGTCTTATTCTATGAATATTGCTGGTATAGCTCTTAAATGTGGTTTTATTATTAACAGCAATAAATTGGTATGGCATCAGTACTGCAGATCTGGTTGGTGTCTGTCGCGGGCCGGTACCGGGGGGCTACTGGCTGTCAGGATGTTTCCGCGACTTCCCCCCCCAATGTGGAGAGGTTTGTTAAAAATCCCGAGCGTCCACCTCTCTCAGAGGAACGGCCGCTGTGGGTCCGTTTCTTAGAGGGTAGATTAAAGTACCCTCCCACCACGCTCACAAATTGTTACTGAGACCAATGTTTAGTTTGCAAATTAATCCGTTTATTGAGGGACAATACAAACTAAGGGATCAAGGTTCAGGAGAGGTTGGCTAGGTATATATTGGAAAAGGGATTCAAAGGCACTATGGTCTATAAAAGGCACACTCTGAAGGAGAGATGTAAATCAATGGAGTGAAAGGGTAGGAGTTGAGCCTAGTAAGAAAGTTAAAGTGTGTGTGTGTGTGTGTGTGTGTGTGTGTGTGTGTGTGTGTGTG